CACAAAACGCGGAACGAAAAATCGCGATATCTTCTAAACCATTAGTCCTAGCGCTTAAAATGATAATAACTTTCGATAGAACTCTTGGGGTGCTATCCAGAACTGTCAACAGAATTACCGTAGTGTTAAAAAATTGTTTGTCCCTCAGATGTGAGAGAATCAGACATTGAAAAAATTGCGATATCTCTTAAACCGTTGGTCCTAGCGCTTCGAGCATTAATAACTTTCGTTAAAATTCGTGGGGTGCTACCCAGAACTGTCATTAGAATTGCCAGAATTTAAAAAAAATTTTAACCCTCGGGTGTTAGAAATTTTTCGATGTGAAGACATAGCCAGTGACGAGAATTCTGATCTTCTTCTTTCAGAACATCATTTAAGATCGGTGAATGATGTTATCAAAGTATCATCGATTGAAGATCCTACTTATGAGGAAGAGATCTATGAGGAAACACTTTTGGACAATTTCAATGAAAATCCCAATGGATGGATGGAATGGGCGAAATCCATTTATGAATCAGCAGAGGCTATTGCAGCGAAATCTGTCTCAGGTTCTGTAGTAAATGCGTTCTATAATTCACAACTTGCATTAAAATTAAAAAATCTAATTTTCTACTTACCTTTGTGGACAGGTATGGCGCGCTCTCACTTTCGTTGTGATAAAATAGTGGCTACGTCCTCAGCTGTCGAAGCTTCATTCGCAGACCTGAAACACAGGTTATTTAAGGAGGTTGTAAGGCAAATGCAATATGTTAAGAACTACTAGAAAAAATTACAGACTATTCTAAATTTAATTTAATAATAATACAAAAAAATAGAAACAATGACCATCTGGATCAAAAGTTATTTAAATAAGTAGTAATATTTTTTTAATTTGTACTCTAATATAAATATATGAAAATGTATTATAAAATAATGATAAAAATCTCAATTTTTTATATAAATACTCTAGGAATTCAACAATATTTTTGTAAAGTTATCTTGAGATGCAGACATTAATTGTTCAATAAATAAATAAAATTTGTTATTTGTTATAAACTAATGGTGAATCTCAATGAAACTTTGCATAAGTTATGTTTAGTACTTAATATATGTATATAAAAACATTTAGATTTTTCTTATTATTTTAACAATTTTTGTTTATAACAATATATATATATATAAAACTAATAACAAATAAAATAAGTAACCTATAAAAATGTGTTGCTTAATAAAACCAGAATGTTATGAACACAACTTTCACATGTATGTAGTTTGTTTAAAGCGAAAATATTAATATATGTGTTTTATGCCCTTACAACCTCCTTAAAGACGAATTACCAATGCGAATGGATAAATTCATCGTCAAGCATATCGATTTCTTGCAAGGTAAGACTTTAAAAGGGGTTAAGGTAAGACTTTAGGTAAGTTAAAGGTAAGACTTTATTAGCGTTGGCCAACGAAAGTACAGCATGCAAAGAACAGGATACAAAGAATAGTAAAGGAAATATGTGGGATGTCGTAGAGTATTGGCGAGGTTTAACCGTTAAAAGAGAATCGAATGTCGATGAAATTGATGCAAAAGTAACTAAAAAACGAAAATTAAATAAAAAACTTACCTTGACGATTGTCCAGATTGGGACAATATGAAGACCTTAGAACGGATTACTCTGCCGGTATTAAAAAACGGCAGCTTGCTTAAAGCATCCCAATGCGATGATAATTTTATCGTGGTTCGCGAAACATGTGCATTTGATTCGTTAACGCAAATAATAACCAACGCAGTAGTAATCAACGAAACTTATACTATTAATGATCAAAACGTATTTTTGTAATTTCGCTAAAAATATTTCAATGATAAATAGTACTAACATTACAAGAAATATTTATCAAAAACGCATGAAAATCCTTA